ACTAGGCAGAAGAGAACAGAGACAATCAGCTAAGTCGCTGCGTTTCATGCACATAGCAAAGCTAAGGCAATCCTCAGACAACTGAATATTATGTAAGCGTATCGTACCGGAATCTATCGTGCGGAGTGGTGGAGTAGCCGAGCCTTCTAGACTCCACCACCCATTGGCACAGTAATCACCCCGACACGGGGTAAACCCCAAGGGCAATCACAGGTCTCACGTTCCATCCAATGAGACCAAATTGGCATTAATGAATACATGTACTAGGGGTATAGAGTGCGGTTAATTTAGTAGGTGTGGGTGAGAATCATGGACATGTTGATGAAGTGCTCAGAAGTGATAACTAACGTTGCGTACTCGATCCCAGTTCAGGTACTAGAAACGCGTGAGGGTGTCGTCTCAGACTCGTCAGTCTGTCTTCCCAACTCGTGAGACCTGAGTACTGGTAACGAAAATGCCCCGTTCTTTAGATAGTTTTGACACATTCGACAAACACATAGTGACATACGCACCCACAAACATAACACACTGTCACGCAGGCATGTATACACACAGAACACAAACAAACACACATACACACATGCCTCCCCTCCCCCCCCCCCCCCACACACACAAAGGTATGCTAAGCAAATCAAAGGCGTACATGCATCAGACACAGACGAGCCTTGCTCTACAATAAGGTCGCCGGAGCCTCCCAAACTTTAACTACTTCAAAATACATGTACAAACCTCTCTGTATGTGCGGACAGCGCGCAGCTTCCTTCATGATCAACTAAACGTCTCTAAAGCTGTTGAACAATGCCGGTTGGTCATCAAAACCTCCCATTGTTCTGTCACGTGCCCGAATTTAAAGGTGCATGCGCTCCTGAGCCCTAACAAGAAGGGCATTTTCTCCGTTTCCTTTTCACACAGCTTTCATTCTGACTCTCCCCCTCGCCCTAAACATCTTTGTGCCCAAACAGGCTCGGTCGAAGCAGCTCGAATTGAGTGCTCGATATACTACTTGTAATCTCCATAGCAATGTACACCAACACCGGATGTGAACGGCTGTGGAGCTGTAACTTCTTTTACCTTACAGCTCCAAAGTGTGAAACTTAAACTTTTCACACATTGGACCAATCATCAGACTATGGCATTTACAACTGAAGTGTTCGTGAGCGGGCCAAGACATTTTCTGCTGGTGCATGGTGTGGGAGTCTGGGGGGGGGGGGGGGGCGTGTGTGGAGTATAGTGGTGGAAATGGAACTGTGCTTGCGCTAGTATTACCTTCGCTGACCCAATATCACACAGCCACATCAACGTGCCTAGAACGTCACTGTAACAGGTTCGCCCTTTTCCTGTCAGTCGCATTGCAGTGTATCACTCATATTCTACAGCTTACACTTCCAACTCTATACTCACACCACCTATGCTGCACTACCAGCACCAATCCGACCTGTGAACACAGTCATTCCATCTAACCGATCACCCCTAGTCTCGGAGAGATTGCTCATGGATATTATCATTTGCTTGAATAACACACATCTGCTACATCCAGGCTCTACACGTCTGCGATCACACCAGCCGCTGGCATCATCCAGTAGCAAGAAACAGATCTGTTACGCTCCATACCTACCCACTAATTATTCAAAAAACAGAGAGGTTCCAGGCTGTCCAAGAGAGTGCTCAATACCGAGAGGCAGAGCTAGTTCAAACAATAAGAGGACTTTTCCGTCCTCTTATTGTTTGCACTAACTATTCACGTTCAACACGATAAGAACATGAATGTGGTCCGTATGAGTGCGGGGCAGGACTCTTAGAAGATGTATCTAAGACCTTTTGATTGGGGGAGCATGCCATATTGATTACGATGCTCATCTCCTCTCTATTGGCGCCGCTGCCTCCCCAACCGAAGGCACGTACTACAGTAGTAGTGGATGCTACTCGATGGCACATGGGTCTCTTGGGGGTGGAATTTGCTTTCTTCGAAGTGGTATTCATAGGTAAGATTGATAACAAAAGATCTCATGTCTCGAATGACCATGCATGTAGTGTACGACCGACATCATCCCATGGACAAGGCGCTCGAAGCGAACAGAGATTACAAAACCACTGTTTCCTATCGACAGAGCCAATGAGGCCGTGTCGGAGCGGAGTACAATAGCGCGATGCTTGTAATTGTATGTCACCAGGACACCAGGGACGGGTAGGAAATGTGTGATAGGAACAAGGAAAGCAATTAGAACTATTTCCAAGGGAGCGGAGGCACTCCCAGGATGAGGATTGCAAGCCGTTTACTCTCCAAAGTAACGGCTACTTCATATCGGATAGGTTGTGATGGCTGTTTTGTGTTCGATTGTTCTAGCTGCCCTCAGGGCGTTCACATGGCGTCTTCTTCGATTCAACATTCGGTGTATTCACTGCACGCGCGCGCGCGCGTGTGTGTGTGTGTGTGTGTATGTGTATGTGTGTGTATGTGTGCACGCGCACGCACTTTTGTGCGCTAGTAATTGTATGTCTCCTTCCATGGCGCATCGAGGCATGCGTTCAAACGTTCTCCTGAACATAGGTGGTCTCCACGTGTCCCTTATGTCTGGGTCACAGTTCCGTAGTATTCCATCTTGCAATGGAAAGTTCTAAAGATATGTACAGTCTGTGACCCTGTGGACCACATTCTTATACTCCATGGGATGACTGCTGGTTTTGCTGGGGCACACTGTGGAGTAATGAGATGCTGCGTGTGTGTGTCGTGTAGACTCCTCGAAGAGTGTATTTCGCTCAGCTGATTGATGGACAGCGGTCGGTGGCGGTTTGCCCCAGGAAGTTATCTATGAATTACATCTACATTGCATCCGTTGCGCAGCCTGCCGTCGGGGATTGTATCGATACTCACAAACCGTAGCATGGACGAGCATTGGACCAGTTTGCAGTATGTGCCACATATTTCGTTGACGTTAACGTCTAAGCCTTCTCACAAAGGTTGTCTTCCACAATAACAATAGAGATGCCTAGACGTGAGAGTAGCATTACATTTACAAGGCAAGTGTGCTGAGCGTAAAGCAAGCTTGAGAAACTAAGATGACCAGGGTTTGTTACAAGTATGACTTTGCTAGAGGTTTTCCAGTTTCCAATGATGTTTAGACTCGTACTACAGTGTACCCGGCAGTAGTACCTTCATTCCAAGAATCATGTTCATACTTCAGTACTCGGTGAAGCCAATGAGCGAGGCAAACACCACAGCCACTAGTCGTGCAAAGAACGCACACAAACACACACACACACCACACACACACACACACACACACACACACACACACACACCTTGACCTTTGACCTTTGACGCACATCGCCAGAGGCGATGATAGCAATGCTACGGCAGAACTTCAAAGGATTCCCGGAAGGCATGCAAGGCGCCTATTGAGATATCTCTAACATCAAATACAGTGAATGCATGCAGCAAACCACGAGAAAAACACGAACACCACGAAGTTAGCCAAAAATAGGACAACACTCCAGGGCTGTAGTACACACTGCAAAGCGAGCACTGCGCAGTGTCTCGCAGGAGATTCACAAACACGCGCCTATGCACCAGTAATGCAACAAAAATAATGCCTAATTCAAATAGCTCAGTAATGTTACCTCTACAGACATCTAAGAACGCGTTGACGTCTAAGCAAGCAGTACGCACAGATGACGTTCTTTGCACAGGCCAATGCCACGAAAATCTTGATTACACCGCACTCATACCCGCACCCATTCCCACTCTAAAAGCATACACTGGACAATGTCATGCAACTTGATTCGTATCTAGCACAGAGCAATGGCAACCATACTATCACTGTGCTGAGCCAGGAGTAAATTGTGCAGGCATGCTCACACTCCACTTACTCTTCGCTCCTACTCTGCTCATACTCCGCTCATACTCTGTTCATTCTCTGCTCATATCAGCGCACGTATCAATGTTATGACACAAACTGGCGCTGTAACCTTCAAGATTACTTTATCCAGTCAAGTACAGGTTACAGTATACGCACAGCATCATTACCTTGCTCAAGCAATGCTGGTGTACCAGGCCGAGTGCCCGCACTGTACACACTCGCCATGTACAATGTACACAGCACATTTCCCTGGACAAACAATATCTAGGGTTCCCTGCGAGAAAGCAACAGCCTGTCGGGACCCCTCTATTAAAGGGGAAGTTAAGGCAAAAATTAAAATTTCACCATTTGTAGTCTTCGGGGTGCTGAGTCGAATGGTCTTGGTCCGAGAAAGCTGAGACGCTCCCTTCCTACTTGAATCCCAATCGAACTCGCGCACTTCCACCGAAACTGGGTGACTGCGCCCTACTAGATGGGGATTTGTATGCAAAATGTCACTAAAAGCGCCATTTCGTTCTTATAAAAGCACGGATGACCGCGATTGGCCCATATGTTGTAGTCTTTTGGACGCTGAGTCGACTGGTTTTGGTCCGAAAAGGCTGCGATGCAGCGTTCCTCCTTTATTCCCAATCGAACATGGTTGAACAAGCGGTCACGTGCTCCTGCGTACACCAGTCACCTGGTCACCGTGCCTGCAGGGTACAACTTACTAGCCTGTTTGACCTTTTTTGGGTGCAGTCCTGTCACTCGAGTTGACCTCGAGTTGAACCTTGGTGTGAAAGTTGTCGCCTGCTGGCGTGGTGACCAGGTGATTTGGGCATCCAGGAGCACGTGACCGCTTGTTCAACCATGTTCGATTGGGAATAAAGGAGGAACGCTGCATCGCAGCCTTTTCGGACCAAAACCAGTCGACTCAGCGTCCAAAAGACTACAACATATGGGCCAATCGCGGTCATCCGTGCTTTTATAAGAACGAAATGGCGCTTTTAGTGACATTTTGCATACAAATCCCCATCTGGTAGGGCGCAGTCACCCAGTTTCGGTGGAAGTGCGCGAGTTCGATTGGGATTCAAGTAGGAAGGGAGCGTCTCAGCTTTCTCGGACCAAGACCATTCGACTCAGCACCCCAAAGACTACAAATGGTGAAATTTTAATTTTTGCCTTAACTTCCCCTTTAATGATACTAAAATCTGCTATACTACCACGTTTACATGTTCACAATAGGACTACTAAGACTTGAAAATAAGAATATCATACATGTACAGAATATCAGAAGGATGCATCCGGTGTGTTGAGAGTGTTCACATCATGCTGTGAAGGCAGCATGATGTGAAGGCAGCATGTTGTACCCAGTACAACAGTGCAGCAGCAAGGCTAGTTGTATTGCAACTCTGGGTTTCATACTCATTGCCGCGATGGTCACATAGCATGACAGCATGTTGACAGTATCATTATGAAGACACGGGATCACTGTTGGAGCTGCTCAGTATCAACTCTCCACGACAATCCAGCAACATGACCATTGTGTGCGTTGTAGTGTGCACTGCGTGGTACAGAACTTCACGTCAGTCAAGCATTTGCTCGAATAGCATCAAGACCGCCTAGACCGCTTGCTGTTGCTGCTGTTCGGCAAGCGGCAGCAGGGCATAGCAAGCGGCAGCATTGCATTGCTGTTCGGCAAGCGGCAGCAGGGCACTGCTGTTCGGCAAGCGGCAGCAGGGCATGGCAAGCGGCAGCAGGGCATTGCTGTTCGGCAAACGGCAGCAGGGCATTGCTGTGCGGCAAGCGGCAGCATGGCATTGCTGTGCGGCAAGCGGCAGCAGGGCATTGCTGTTCGGCAAGCGGCAGCAGGGCATTGCTGTGCGGCAAGCGGCAGCAGGGCATTGCTGTTCGGCAAGCGGCAGCAGGGCATTGCTGTTCGGCAAGCGGCAGCAGGGCATTGCTGTTCGGCAAGCGGCAGCATGGCGTTGCTGTGCGGCAAGCGGCAGCATGGCGTTGCTGTTCGGCATGATCTACTGTACTAGTACACCAGACGCATCATGTACTCCACCAAGCATATAGTGGTTACGCTGCGGATCACATACGCTTTGTGGGCAGTGCCATGCCCTTGCTTTTGACGCCACCCCACACAACATATCCCAAATGATGAATTAATGTGTAGGGATATCACAGCTGTGACTTCGGCATCAAGTACACATGCTTCACTCATGCTGCTTACTTACAAATCATCAAGATCAGAGAATCATCTCTGGGAGCCAGGAACGCAAAACTAAACTTAACTGTTTGCGCTGCTGTCTTTTTGGCTGCGTTCGGATTCCGCTTTCGCAGACTCAGCGGACACATCTGTCTCACTGCTCTCACTGCTCTCACTGCTGCTTCCATCACCGTGTTCAGGTATAGCCCTTTGTATGACATTGGTGTCTTCACTGTTCTGTTCTTCCTGCTCGTGTTGCTGGTGATGTTGTTGCTGTTCATCCTGCTGATGTTGCTGCTGCATTTCCTCACTCTCGGTATTGGCCTCAGGTTCAACATGTGCTACAGAAGAATCACCTGGTATACAAGGCTCTGACGCCTCTGGTGCCTGGTCATCCGTTGTCTCGCTGACGACTTGAGCAGTAGTTGTCTCCACCGCCGCAATGGGTTCATCGTGTACGTCTGCAGTAGGTACGTTGTGAGAATCCGCTACAGGAGCATCAGGTGGAGGCGCCGTATGGTTTTCGCTGGCTGCATTCTCTATCTGCACATCACGTGACATGTTTGGATCATGTGACGTGCTTGGATCATGTGACACGCTTGGATCATGTGACCCAGATGAATTATGTGACATGGATGGAGCAGATGTGTTCACTGCAGGAGCGTGCTGGTGGTCTCCGTGCTCATCCCGAGAGTTGTTTACAGCGATGACAGCTTGATTTTTTTGTGCTGAACTTGTAGTTGAAGGCAATGGCCGATCTACGCCCACCGCAGCTGCTGTGTGGTGGGCTTGCGATGCGGTAGTCATAGCAACCGTTTGGCTGTGCTCTGTAGTCGATTCGGTGTTTACTTGTGCCTGTGCACTGTCGGAAGCTGAATGCTGTCCTGTTGTCACTACTGCTGCAGTCTCCGCCGCTGCAGTCTCCGCCGCTGCAGTCTCCGCCGCTGCAGTCTCCGCCGCTGCAGTCTCCGCCGCTGCAGTCTCCGCCGCTGCCGACGCTGTTCCAACTTCTGTCGCACTTGGCATAGCGACAGGCTGAACTACACCTTCTTCGATCGCCATGTCCAGTAGTTCCTCGTCCGGCTCTACCCCGATAGCAATGGCGTCGCCACCACTTCTCAGTCTCTGCAACTTGCCCTGGTCAGGCTTGAGTGACTTGCCGATGCGGGAGAGAAGCGACTTGACATTCTTCACCGGCCCAGTGTGCTGTTTCTGTCCACCACCGCTGCCGGGATACGACTCGGAATGTCGCAGGATGCTGGCGGCATCGTATACGTGTACGTCGACATCCGGTGAGTCCTCCGCGTCCTTGTAGCGCGCCAGAATCCCATTCAGCGTCCTCTCTTGCGTGCAGCTGAGAGAAGCAAACAGATAAATTCAAACTAGTTGGAAATTATAACCTCTCATGACGAGGTATCTTACAGTAATGGTGGCCAAAACAGCTAGCTGTCCCTTTCCTTCTTCACCAACCGTGTAACCTAGCTCAGTTCAAGTCAAGTCGACAAACACATTCTCCTATTCTTTAAACTCTCACAAGCTCTCACTACAAAGGATGTGCTGTTCCACCTTTCAATTATTATTTCACTCGAGAATGTGTATTCAAATTATGTACTTGAAGTAGTTGCTTGCTGCAGGTACAGACTAAATGAAATACAATTCAAAACTCAAATTTCACTCAAATTTATCCATTGATAATTGTGACGAGAAAACGTTCTGTAACACTTTATTCGTTGTCATGGTTGTGATACGAATACGCCTATAGTTTATTTACATCGCATTATATTATTATTTAAGATTATGGTCTCCACGTCTCTTTTTTCAAATTTCACTATTCTCAGTCTTACTGATGTGGATCATGGAGTCTCTCACAAATACTTATTTCCACACAATTCCTGAACACGAAGGTAGCATAATTAGTTAGCTGCTGTCCAACCACAGAGTAAAGATCATATTATGTGCTTTACGGCAATCGCTACCCTGGGCAAATAGGTCAGTGGGAATGTAGTGGTTCACCTTATCACACTGTCGTGTACAATACCAAAGAACTGGTTTCAGTAAGGACTTTCTCGTCGCAACAGACACAAGTATTACATGTGTGCTATTTGTCGTGGCAACTCACAGCTTCTCGTTCAGTTCCACAATAATGTTTTGCATGAGCACCCGTTCGCTCTCTGCTTGGCCGTTTGCATCCTTCAGCTCCTGCTGGAGAGACGATAGATCGTGTAAGAGTCTTCGTCTTTCCTCGTCCTTCTGGACTAGGATATCCTCTAGGTATTTCTGCATTTCAACAGACAGAACACAGCACAAATGAACTGAGCGCTGGAATGGAAAACCCGCTAAATTCGTTTCATCGCTTTTCGGATAACGGCCGAAAAGGACACATGTTATGCGTCGTTTCTATCTAAATGTCTGGGTTTCAGTTTTAAAATGATTCTAGTCGCAGTTTGAAAGTGAAACCTTGCCTGCCGGTGCCCCTAGAACGTTTGATTTCTCTGAGCTGAATATCTGATCTTCTCAAATTTGGCGCTTGAGCGGGTTTTGCACACCAGCTCTTCACATGTTGTTTTGACCAGCGGTTCCACTGATTTCCAGTATTAAAATCAATTAATTAATCAATACTCCGCTACACAGAATCACACTACCTACCCTCTGGTTCCGTTCGTCGGTGAGCTGGCGTTGGAGTGATACAAACTCCTTGCTTCCCTCCATTGTCAGAGCACTGTTCCGCGGAGCTTCACTGTGCGATGCTAGAGTTGTGCCCCCGGTGGTCGCTAGTACAGCATGTCGGAAGTCCGGCGGTACAGTGGTCTGAGAAGACCCCACTGCAGAACTTCCTTCTGGTCCGTCTACCTCATCCTCATCATCTGAAAGACGGAAAATAAAAAAAACCAGAGCTTCAGAGAGGCATCAGGCACACGTGCAGAAGGGGTCTGATATTTGGACACAAAACATCAGCCCATATCCATGATGTGAAGACGCAAAAAACGGCAATTTGTGAAGCTTGTTTGTTGCAAGTGTAAGCACTGAACAATCCAAAAGCTGATGCCCACCCTCAACTGCATGCTCATACTAGCATTCAATTCTGGATGCATGTAACCTCCATACTGGGATACCCAACTTGGAGTCACAGCTCCCTACCAAAGATAAATTGAAGCCGGCAGAACAACACAAGGTGAAAGGGGGATCACTGTCTACACACCTGGAGAAGTCAGAGAGTCGCTGGGGTAGCGTGAACGTCGCAGTTCGTCCTCATCTGACAGTTGCCCTGCAAAGCTAGCAGCACCACAGACAGGGAACAGAGAAACACAAACACAGATGAATAGATAGGCATAGATAGGCATAGATAAGCATATATAACTTAAGACTAGTATAGATAAGCATAGATAGGCATATAGACAAGTAGGCACGCTGGATGGGTATGTAGTTAAGGAGACAGACAGTGAATGGACCATTTCCGTAGGAATGGTATATTCGATTACGGAAACTTTCATTCAAAGCCATAAAAAGACGCCTTTCAATTTTAAACGGAATGTATTTTGCTCAGGAAAGGGCTATGGATCCTCATCCCAAGTACCACAGTTTAGCACAACACGTAAAGTAGCACAGCAATGTGGTACTTGTAAGCGGTTGCAGAAGGTATACATGTGCAGTCAACACCATGGCGTAGCACATACACTGCAGGGGCGTCACAGGGCTGTCGGGAGTGGTGCGACCGGGGGTCCGGGGTGTCCCCCTGAGAAAAAAATTCGGACTTTTCGGCCAACAGGGCCTACAGTAAGATCGGGCGCCGAAGAACACCTCGCCGAAGAACACCCAAGCTGGAAAACCGGCAAAATTTAAGAACAGTCCAGGCTAGAATTATCAGATTTAAGAACACTTTTAAAAATTTACACGTAGATCTACATTGTACATGTATGGGAGGTGAGTATATGTCATGTACACGTGTATACAGTAACTGCTACATGTACAGTCATTCCCATTTACGACACCCACTAGTTTAGAAGTACTACATTGCACTACATGTACATGTACATGACAAACGTCATGACGTCACTCGACTCGCCGCGCGCGTGTGAATAAGAACGGTCTGGCTAGAATCAAAAATTTAAGAACTTTCCTAGGCTGCGCTCGAGCCCCTGCGTTCTTCGGCGCCCAATCTTACTGTACAGTAGGGCACGTTTTAGCACTCTACAGCCGCAAAGGGGTTCCCCTTGCACTTACTAGACAACCCCACTCCAGCACTCTACAGCCGCAAAGGGGGGTTCCCCTAGCACTTACTAGACAACCCCACTCCAGCACTCTACAGCCTCAAAGGAGGGTTCCCCTAGCACTTACTAGACAACCCCACTCCAGCTCTCTACAGCCGCAAAGGAGGGTTCCCCTAGCACTTACTAGACACGCCCACTCCAGCTCTCTACAGCCGCAAAGGAGGGTTCCCCTATCACTTACTAGACAACCCCACTCCAGCTCCAAAAAAAACTTCTCGTGGACTTTTGGCATTTTCTGTAAATCGTAGGTAGCCAAGGCAAAAAGGAAGCCATTGCCCTAAAAAAATCGCAAAATCCGAAGTACAAGCATGCTGCGCGTTCTAGCGCCAGCCACTGTGCAAAATGTCCTGCGAAAGTGCCCAGCGCCGCATGCACTATGTACATGGCCGGCCCGGACAGTCGCGAAGTAATGTTAGTTGTTTTAAGAGAGAGAAGAAGATCCTTTTTTTGTTCGATGGGATTAAAAGATCCCAGGATTGAAAGATCTGCCAGTGGACCCGAGAGCTACAACACTGGAAACAGAAGAAAGGGCTTGCGGAATCTTCTCTGTCTTCGTGGCAACAGGACTTTCGTTTGCGAGAGACTTTCGTCCTGTAGTCGCGGACGCAATTATTGTTCCTGCTACCAGAAAATTCGGAGAACGAAACAATCGTAAGTCGTTTGGTGACACGGGTCGTGTCGGTGAACAGCTGCAGAATGTTCTGCCGCCGTAGAGCAGCAGTCCAAACACTTTTCAACTTCGGAGAAAGAAGCATTTCCCTATTCCGTTGACAAGCGAGGCGTTCGCGGGTGTAATGCATTTTCGCATCAGCTTGCAGTACATGTACACCGTCAAAAGCCAGAGGTACTAGGTCTAGTGGGTCGGTGTCGTTGTAGAAAGAATATTATGTTGTAGCTGACAAGTGACATGTCTGTAGTGTCTCTTGACCGTGCTGATCGCCACTGTAACATGGTAGATCTTGGAAAAAAAGTTCGTTCTGGACCCAGTAATCGCCGCCAGCGCTGTTTCCGTCAAGTTTGCAGTGAAGGCGTCCGTGGAGAAGCCATCGTCTGGTTGTCTCTACCTGTGACTCCAACCGCCTATCGCAATGGATAGCCGCCTGGAGTCTTGGGCAATAGCTAGCTGCTAGGCATCAATTAAGTGTGAACCAAATAATTGTATACTCCTTGCAATGAAAGTTGTGATGTTTTGCACAAGTCCGAAGATCCTTGAATTTTTTATTGCTTTTTTGGATGAATTGGGTGGACCATCCTGGACGAAAAGTGGTACGACCATGGTCGTAGTGGTCGTACCGTGTGTGACGCCCCTGCACTGTACTCAGTTCTCCAGCTCTCTAGCATATCCCATCACCGGGAAATTTGTGAAAAATAGATGCATGCTGTCTGGCTGTACGCACATAGTGCAGATCAGGTTAGTGCAGATCAGGTTAGTGCAGATCAGGTAGCAGAGCCATTGTTCACACAATCCAGAGATGCTACTCGCTTAGCCTAGGAACTGAGCCACTAATCATTGAGCTGAACAGCAGAGCCGCTATTCGCTTAGCCGACAACCAGAGGTACACCTCGCTTAGCCTATTACCAGAGCCACAACTCACTAGGCCCAGGAGCACAGCCACACCTTGCTGAGCTCTGCACAGCAAACACGATGGCTTACCTTCTCCTGGCATGCATGAACAGGGAATAGTTAATGGCAGCCGTCACCTCCGAGTCCAGTCGAGGATTGCCCCGTAGGCATACACTGCGTGCAAACAACACCACAAGGATACCAACACTCTGTATGAGTACCATATCCCAGGGTCATAATTAGAGGGGGAGGGCAGTGCTGTGTATCCAGGGAGGGTACCTGTGCTATGCATCTATGGGGGGGGGGGGGGGTTCCATGGGGGAGGGCAGTGTATCCATTAGTTGGGGGGGGGGGGGGGGAGTACATGTATATCCATGGTGAAGGCAGTCCATCCATGGTGGGGGGGGGGGGGGGGGGGAAGGTGTATCAAAGCGGGGGACCTGTGCTGTGCAGCCTGTGCTTTGGAGGCCAAGGCTTACCTGGTAACTACAGGCATGGCAAATGCCCCTCCAAAGTGAGTTCTCATTGGTGAGTAAAGTGAGTTCTGACCATGTTTCGAGTAGTGGACACTGTCTACTGGGAACAATTTCATAATTATTGTAAGAACAAAGACATGCACGCACACTCACCTAAAGTCTACAGCTTCGATGGCGACAAGTAGACCGCACACCTGCAGTGAGGATTCCTGACGAATGATGGACCAATCCTCATAGCATTCGCTGTGGTTACATTGTGCATGGTACCATGGTGATTAGTATAGACCAGTACATACATAAGCGCAAACACATACATAGGTAAACATCAGGGTTCAGTAGGGCACAGAAAGACACGACGCAGGCAACAGTAGTGTTAGGCCCACAAGACCTGTTCCTGTCGTCAGTCGCTTGTTCGGACTCAACAGTAGCACTAAACGATGTGGGGTTTGCTCCGTGGTTGCCCGTTAGTCGCCCTTGGGGAAGGGAGATATATGCACGCTTGCACTTACGGCATCCCTTGTCTGGCCTGCGCATGTGGTCAGCAGGCAAAGGCAGCAATTGCGATCGCAAGTTGCATAGACCACCGATTTTTCAGAGCTTCCCAAGCCGGGTTTGAAACGCACAAGGTTTCGGGTTCTATGATCTCATGCATTTTCCAGTACACTGGCATCAACTCCTTGCTGTACATCCGTGTACCGTTACTCACACTCACACTCACACACACACTGTCGGTACACACGCACACTGTCCACAGTCCACACACATACACCCCCCCCCCCCCCACACACACACACGGACATGCACTGTTCACACGCTGTCCATAACGTTCACACGCTATGCACAAGTGCATACAGACAGCGAAGTCAAAAGCGGAAATTCTGTGCAAATCGAGGTGAATGCTTGTCCACAGGTTGTTTACCAGGCAACATGCATGTAAATGACCACACCAGGTAACTGTTTTGCTGTAAAGCACCACTTGTATTTTCCGGGTCTCTTCCCGGGGGTGGGGTGGCAGGCACGTGCGCCGGTGCCCTTCAAGGGGAGGGGGTTCCGCGGACCTCCCCAGGAAATTTTTCAAAAATGAAGCAAAATCCTGCATTTTGAGCGAAAAAAGGGGGTTCCGGGCACCCAGGAACCCATACGGGGCACGCGCCTGGGTGGGGGGGGGGGGGCATTCTGTTTCCCTGCGGATGGGCACATTCATAGACCAAACGCATGCTTACTTCACACAATGCCGAGACGCTAGGATGGCTTGAAAGTCACGTGCAAACGACTTCTGTACCAGGCAGGTCATGACCCAGGCTCGACACTGAGCACGGATTTAATCGGAACAGAGATATACACGTACACACACACACACCCATAGAAGCGCGGTGCACACACACACACACACACACACACACACACACACACAAGACACACACACACACACAGCATTTTCACTGCCTACCAATAACAGCACAGACCTGATGAACTACCTGTTAACTGGTTGGGCTCAGTCCTGATTTCTTCCCTTATGCATGTTGCCGATATTAGGTTTTAGGGCAAAACATGCACGCGAAGTTATCCGCTTCAAAACCTTTAGAGACAGACATGCTGCTGATGCCCGGTTTGTGGCAAACAGTATAGTTTAGGTTGGCTGCCTTGAAGTACTTTTAACTAGGGCTGAGTCGGGTAGCATTTTCTTCGGGCATCGGGTCCGGGTAGTTTTCCACGGGTAGCACGGGTACCCGATCGGGTAATGTTTCCATGCATGGTAAGACCACAATGCACACCCGCGGCCCCTTCCCTTACACACTGGGTACCATGCATGAGTTATTTGTACACGTGCACTGTAGACCTCTCTCTCTCTCTCTCTCTCTCTCTCTCTCTCTCTCTCTCTCTTTCTACATGATGTCATCTGCGACTTCGGGTTTTCGGGTAGCACGGGTACCCGACTACCCGTGCACACCACTCTCCTAGGTGCAATGAGCCTGTGTGAGTACGTGGCATTTCTGGGGTGGGAAAAAAATGCCACGTACTCACACAGGCTCATTGCACCTAGGAGAGTTCAAATACTGCACCATCCAGTGGGCATGTATCACATGCTGACCTTTGACCTCCTTGTTCACTATTCCTCTTACCATCTCAGTGCTGCCAACCTTCCGTATTTTCCTGTATTTGTACGGAAAATCAATCCTTCGTCCGCAGTACGGAATTTGAGCAAAATGGTACGGTAAATTGAAGAGGATCAATCAGCTACAGATATGCATGTAGAAGCATGGCAAGCGCAAGCTGAGCGATGGATATCCCTGCTCCAAAGCGAGTGCATGCCGCGCTTCGACTACATGTAGCACAAAATATCATGTCGTGGTACCGTCACACATGTTTTGTACTAGCAAATTCAGCCACCGACAGCCACCGACAGGCATGTGAGTGTCAAAAAAGCACAATACAAGCAATGCACACGGCAGTACATTGGCAGTACGGAAAAACACTGGAAAATACGGAAAATTAGTAGTCGCACTACGCCAAACAGACCCAGTTGGTTGGCAGCACTGTCATCTGTACGTTGCTCTGCTTGATGTGCGGACCAATATTCCATACTGGCATGCGCACTTGAGCTCTGAACATCCAATATTAGGGAGTACTGCAGGATTTTGCAAAGCCCAGTGATTGGCTGTCCCCGTGGTTAGTTACTGTCATGTGATATAGTACAAATTTAGAATGAGTCTATGTGTAGGAAGAAGGACCCACAGGTACACCTGGCAATGGCTGGAACTCACGACCCGCCCCCCCCCCCCCCCCCCCCCCCCATGAGTAGGTACGGCGTGAGGACACAGCCTGTTGGGGCGGGGAAGCAGTGTAGCAAGAAGAACCCACGCGTGTGTGTGATCCCCAGTAGCCTAATCGGTAGGGCACTGTCCCGGAAAGACAGGGGTGCTGGGTTTGAATCCCGCTCGTGGATCCTTCTTTTGCAGCACATGTGTGTTGTATGGCCAATGTCATGTGCAAGTGCTCACCCGTCCCATTCGTGACCTGATACCATCCATTTGTCGAACAGTTTGCAGGGCCGTTGATCGCTTCAAACAATGCTCAAGTATGTACCAGTAATGCTTCTGCCGCCGCTCGGAGTTGTTAGACATCAAACCAGACAGTGTCGGACCTGTACAGTGTTGAACGTGTGCGTGTGTGTATATGTATGTGTGTGTGTGTGTGTGTATGTGAGTGTGTGTGTGTGTGTGAGTGTGTCATGGTGTGAGTGTGTGAGTGTGTGTGTGCGCGTGCACGCACACGCATACATGTGTTTGTGCGTGCGTGCACGCATGTGTGTGTGTGTGTGTATGTGTGCATTCGTGTGCGCGTGTGTGTGAGAGAGAGTGAATGTGTGTGTGTGTGTTTGTGTGTGTTCACAGGCAGCAAAGGACAAAGTTCACACCTAATCGCAAGGTGGCTATACTCAGCGTGCCCTGCGTGCATGCAGTTGGCTGATAGGCTGTGATAGCACACTGTACTCAGCCATTGTTAGCAGCACCTGACACCGTTCAATATGACCATGATCGTATGATCAACATCAGGGTTCTAGCCAGGTCAAAATAGGAGAGGGGAGGGGGGGGGGGGGGCAGGGAAAACAGTTACCTCGTAATCCATTTTTCCATTTTCAAAATAACTGTCTTGCAATGCGAAATGCAACGTAGACTATGGGGCGAACACCTGACTTCACCCTAGACAAATGTGCCTTTATGAACCCTCTACATCGTAGTGCTGACTATCAACTGCATGTTCGTTGAATGGCATGAAAAAACACAAAACTCGGCACTTTTTCATAGAGTAGGGGGGGGGGGGGGGCGCTGTGCACCCCCCCCCCCCCCCCCCATACACTTTGGCTAGAACCCTGAACATTATATCGGTATTCCATAATTATCGTATCAGCCCTACTACAGAAATAGCAGCTCCATTGATCCAGCTAGTTGGCTCACCTCGATAGCCTAGCATGAAGATGTGTTCCATGGTGACACAGAGCTGCTGGTATGCTTCACAGTCATCGTCTATGACGGAGAAGCACGCCTGGTCGACGATGGTTTGTACGGACAGTCTGTGGCATGGTGAGGGAACATGTGTATGCACACACGTACGCACGCACGCACACACACACACACACACACACACACACACACACACACACACACACACACACACATACACACACACGGAGGTGCATGCATGCACGCGCGCACATGCACACACACTCGCGCACAATCATATCCATCATTCTTCCTGCTTCTTTTACAGAACTGCATCCTCTGAGAGATCCCCTTCCAGGGGTGTCAAAAGTAGGCTAGTCGAAAAGTATTGTACATTGGTGCGGCTATGAAAAGGCTGTGCCCAGGGTACCCTTGGCGGAGAATGCTCGAAAAAGTGTTAGGTTCTGCTCGAAAAGCAGTGAAATTGGCAAAACCATACAAACCGCATAACAGGCACTTCCTTGAATTCTGCTCCATTTCTTTATCCACATACCAAACATGAAACATGAAACATACCAGAAACAAGTACCAAGTTCTGCAAAGTTTTCTGCCGGCATTATCGGCCAAGGGCTAATTCGGGGGCCTCCCCCGTGGAATATGTGTGGTAAAGTGGGTCCAAATTGGGCCCATATTTGAAAGCTTCAAAAAAGCCAGTGGACAGTACGTCTGGGAATCTCTCAACATACCAGTACCACCCTCCCTAACAGAGTATTGTGTGCATCTCAAGCATGTCCGAATTACAGACAACTCTAAGTTACAGGCATCCTAGTGTCTCGAGATGGCTGGACAAGAACACTTCTACTATTCATGCTTTGGCTGCCCATGGGCTCCTTCCCCCGGCTACCGTAGTGTCCCTAATGAAAGCCTGGCTTGTTCTGCCTGTAGAAGCCCATGTCCCGGCTAGGCTTCTATTCAAGTCAGGCTTTTAGCGAATCAGGCTTATGTGGCGACAGTGCATTTTGAAAATCAGGCTCGCATTCAAAACAGGCTTTGATAATGACACAGGCGTTCATACAGGGCACTACGGTATTATGTACAATACAGGTACTAGGCCACATCCAGCCACATCCAGCCACATCCAGCCACATCCAGCCACATCCAGCCACATCCCGCCACATCCCGCCACATCCCGCCACATCCCGCCACATCCCGCCACATCCAGTCACATCCAGCCACATCCAGCCACATCCCGCATCTACTAGTAAACTTGGTGGACCTGTTGCCAAGCAAAACATGGTGGACATGTTGCCATGGGAAAACGACGGACCGCCAGTTATCGACTGTATACACATTGGCGGTTGTGTTCTGCGGTACGGATATCAGCAAGGTGTGCGAGCCTTCATGTCCCACGTGGCACCACCCGGTTCTGGTGAGTTTTTCATTCCGTCCGACCATGCTCATCGGATATCGAACACCATTTTTATACATGGGCTCAATCAATGGAGTCGGAGGAGTATTCAATCAATTGAGGAAATACTGAGCGTGGAATGTGGACATCCCCCCTGTTTCTAACCACCCTTGAACCTACATGCTGCTTTTGAGCTTGTGGACAAGAAAGTGCCAGAAATACCCAGAATACCTTGGTTGTGGACTTCGAAATGCGACCTCCCCCAGACAGAACAATTAATTTCTTTCAAAACCATCTTTCCGATGCTGCTCCTATTCGCACTTGCTCGAACAGTGGTGTGTGTGGTGCCGAGTGAATGCTGTAGAGTAAACTGCAATGCCCATTCACCGACCTTAGCGCACTCAGCAAATTGTTGCGATGAGTGTTGAGACGATCAGCGAGCAGCTGCGATTCCAAATGCTCCATTTCGTCCTGGCGTGCACCGGTGCGTTTAGCCACAAAGCACCGGAATCAGACACCGTACTGAGATGCGACGTACCTCCTACTCCTAGGGTAGGGTAACAAACTTCAACTCAGCTGTGAGCAGCTCGCTAAGGGACAACACAACGCCTGATACTGGAGCGTGAGCCAAGTCAGGTGTAAGTGAATTTGCAGAAGTACAAAATGGAGCTTTGACTGAGCTGGAACGCACCAACAAATCCACAAAAATAGAGGTGTGTAGATCTACGAGATCGAGAGAGGTAAAAAAATGTGCATGTGTGACCGCGGCCGTAGCAGTGCGGTATGACGACCTGATGTCGTGATGACCAAGAAGACTGGCAAGACTAGACATACCGGTACTCTCCTAGGCTATGCCTATGGGAGTATGGCTATGAGTATGACTGAGTATGACAAGACTTAGTATCAAAGTCTGACCATGCATGTGTGGATCATGTCGCTTGTGTCTACCTACCTAAGTCCTGATAAGGCTTGCGTGTGACTTCACAGTTCACACACACACACGCGCGCGCGCGCGCGCGCGGGCGCGTGCATGCGTAGTCCACACACACATATACACACAACACACACATGGGTCGGAAAATCTATCACGTCTGACATAATGATTGTTTGCTTTGCACATGATTTAGCCCGACCACTGCGACCAGACCTTTTAGTTTTACAGCACTAGCGCCAGATTCCCCCCAATGAAGAAGGCTTTGACCTTTGTACCGTCTTTGTACTCTACTACTCGTTTTTCTATTTTCTATTTTCAACTCCATCATAAAGTCTTTGTACTAATTATTGTAGTCGTCGTAGTACCGGCACAGCTACATTGTATCTGGTTTACAGTGTGTGGTAGGTGCGCAGAGCCTCCAGCCACTATTGTTTCTCCAATACCATGTACCAGCAACAGTAACAACACTGCTAGTGCTCCACCGTCCCAGCATGCTAGCAGGCCAGGCGAGGCCTCTTTCAATTTTTGTCTAACCCACGTGATCGTGGGCCGGTGGCGAAAAGGGCCGCCCGATAAGATCTTGATTGTGGCACTAGATAGTGAGTGGCACATCAATGCACAGTTTTACTTCTGAAGCTCCAAAGCTGGCAGCCTGTCCCATTGGCATTGCCATTGGAGGAGCTGGGCACTGGGACGGGCCATTGACATTGTCATGATCCAGCCAAAACTCATGCAGGTAGCAGGAGACGTTTACCAATACTGCAATAGTTGTCATTGTCCTTGCGGATTGCGCTAGCTGGCACGGTCACAAGTCAGCTGCAGTCCATGTAATTGTTCTCCTCTGTTACCATAGTTACTCTGTACTGGTACCAACACGTGCATGACTATTTCGAATTCCAAAAGTTTTAAAAAATGCGGCCAATGCTGCATGATGGTATACCGCATTACCGGTAGTCGACTACTAATATTAGTAGTACTATCATGTGCAGCATTGGCTGGATTTTTGTCGACTAAAATAATAGTACAGTCATGCACATGTACATGTACTAGTAATGTACATGTAGTTAGTTATGATCCGACAGTCACCATGGTCACCGGGTTCAGGTCAGAAACATCCCTCCACGCCCACGCAGGATTTGAACCTTGTTCGTTTCCTACATGTATGGAGGTTGTGTGATTACATCATCAGTTTATTGAGATGCTTTGGCAAAGTCGCAGCACAGCAATGCACTAGCGGCTCACGTTATTATTATTATAAAAAAAAATTATTATTATTATTATACATGTACATATAGTGCCCATAAGCGGTTCTGCTGACTCACTGACACCCGCATAACATCATTTTGCTTGGCCTCAATACTGCACAGTAGAGTCGGACTCACTGACACCCGCATAACATCATTTGCTTGGCCTCAATACTGCATAGTAGAGTCGCGCGCCGAAGAACGTTGAGCCGAAGAACGTCCAGCCTGAAATGCTAAGAACGCCACAGCCTAAAGTTAAGAACGGCGGTGTCGGTTTTCCGGCAGATTTGGGATAGATATGATCCAGTACGAATTGTAAGAACGTGCTATAAGAACGCAGCCAGATTGCCCAACAACTTGAATAAGAACGCCCCAGGCAAACCCCTTGGAAACAACGTTCTTGGACGCGCGACTCTACAGTACGAGCACACGAGCAGCAGACTAAACCATGACAACATTGTGATGATTCATGATCATTTCTCTATGGCCAGATGTTCGGTCGAAAAAAAAGAATAAAAGAATAAATAACAAAGCGCTACAGTGCCTCGCCATGGAGTTCAATATAATGCCACGGTATGCGCTGGCGCAATCATCGCTTCCATATAATGCATAAATCCTGACACAAATACATCGTACTACAGTTTTTATATCGAATAGATTAGATAATGTGACATGTATACACACACACGCACCCTAGTTAACTTAGAAGTTTAAAAAAAATAGTCCACTGATCTAGCCCATACTGTACAGTACCTAATGCACATGCTGGTTTGGAAAAGGACAATCAGCTTCACAAGTACACTGAGACACCATCGATAGTAGAACTTCATTCGGTGAGGAAGCGTGAGATATATGAGATAAAAAAATCGGCTAAAGAAACTTCTGGATCTACAGAGCCATGGCCTATGGCATGTGCCCAGGCAGTGAATGGCTCATGCCTTGGCAGCCTGCAAATGCCACCCGTCACAGCTTGGCTGGGAAAGGCGGTGCTGTAGCAGTGCATTCTCTATGTCGTAGTACGAGTACTCGTCGTATCCGTGATACTCGGGGCATTCGTAGTTCACAGAGTAAGTCGTGTTGGGCGCGATCGACTGCTGCAGTGCGTCCATCGGATCAACTGCGCCCCGCAATGTCTTGGTCGAGGCTGATTTCGCTCCGGCCTTTGACTTGCGAGGTGCCTTTCCACCGTCTGTGCACAGCAAGGAGCAGCAAGCATGATCCAACATGGCAGACACTCTCGGCAACGTTGCAATGCTCCCCACAAGCCATCACTGTGGGCATTATCACAGAACTTGTTTTCCATATAGAAATCAGACCAGGGATTTTCATTTGGCTTTCCAAATAAGATTAAGAGGAACTAGTATTCTACATGTTACCGCATTCTCTGGCTTATTAAAAAAATCACGGTTCGCGTGGAGACTTGGTTAGATCTAATTTTCCGCATCCGTAGGAACGCCACCAACCCCGGCTGAAGACCAAGGTGCATATGCAGCTCCTGAAGCAGTGGGAGGTGAGTAGATCGGACCCACCGTCAAAGTGGTCAAAAGACAAAGATACCATTCTCTCTGCATCCATGTTGCCCCCATGCCAGGCCACACGCAGATCTACACGCTATATCTTGACATCGCACGCTTAAAGGGGAAGTTAAGGCAAAAATTAAAATTTCACCAGTTGTAGTCTTCGGGGTGCTGAGTCGAATGGTCGTGGTCCGAGGAAGCTGAGACGCTCCCTTCCTACTTGAATCCCAATCGAACTCGCGCACTTCCACCAAAACTGGGTGACTGCGCCCTACTAGATGGGGATTTGTATGCAAAATGTCACTAAAAGTGCCATTTCGTTCTTGTAAAAGCACGGATGACCGCGATTGGCCCATATGTTGTAGTCTTTTGGACGCTGAGTCGACTGGTTTTGGTCCGAAAAGGCTGCGATGCAGCGTTCCTCCTTTATTCCCAATCGAACATACAGTTTCGGTGGAAGTGCGCGAGTTCAATTGGGATTCAAGTAGGAAGGGAGCGTCTCAGCTTCCTCGGACCACGACCATTCGACTCAGCACCCCGAAGACTACAACTGGTGAAATTTTTATTTTTGCCTTAACTTCCCCTTTAATCATACAAAACAGTAGTATTGACTAGGGGACCATCCACACATTAAAGAGGTTCCGCATAACGTAATTACGTTAGTAAAAAACGTAGTCGATCTACGGAAAGTCTTACGTTAACTGCATGCGCATCTGTGTTCCGCCATGCGGAGTTTTCAAATCACGTAGCTGCCCTTGGCAACTCCGAACGCAGCAGTGTACGACCAGATCGACCTGGGGAGAGAGTCATAAATTTGTACCCCAATCCACTTACGGACCAGCTACGTTATCAGAACTCTATCTACGTACTCTACGTAGACAACTTTCCGTAAGTGGAGTGCAAACTCGCGAATTCACGGGTTTTCTCCGCCCACTAACAGTAAAGTTGCTCAACTTTACGTAGTGCGGAACCCTCTCTATTATCGATAATTTTCAAAAAAGAAAAAAGGTTTAGCTATGACCCTATCTCACCCACCCTGAACACAACTGGTAGCTACAGGTAAGACCATCATACACAGACATGCTGCACGGCCTCTGTGTTTACATTGACCAAAAACCTGACCCTAAACTATTGCTAAGGGGCTAATGAAGGAGTCGACAAAGTTTAGACGTGATCGTACAGGGCGTATTACACTATTCCATGGCAACCATGGAAACAGAGTATGGAATTTCGCATTCCACTGCCTTGGCCGGCTAGGAAAGACAATAGGTCCTGACCACGATCGATGTGCCATGGTGAAAACGGACTTTGACATAGTTATTAGCGCGCCGACAAGAGTATGCGTGGCGATTTTTGACAATTGATAAAATTGCACATATGCAATGCACTTGACACAGTCTGGTATTTTGCGCCATTACTTTGACTTACAAAGACCTCACCTCGACAATTTTTAGAGAAAATTCTCAACCAAAAGCACTTTTGCAGCGCAATTTCTTGGGTCTTACTAGGACAACATGCAAGCTATCATTAATGGCTCCGTGCCCAGCCTCCAAGTATGTAAACCAGCCCGAAGTTGACTCCGCCGCATAGAGCACCCATTGTAACTGTGATCCCGTAAACAGATCACTGAACTACCAAGCACAGGCATCCTGAGGACAGCCCCCACAGCACGGCACAGCGGCTGAGCCCCCCCCCCCCCCCCCCCCCCCCAGCTCAGGCTGACAATTTCCTCTCACGGTAACTTCCATTCGTACAACGCTTACCGGTTTTGCTAGTTACATGGCATACAGCCAGACGCACTGCGGACGATCCGCCGGCACCATGAACAGCCAGCAGCTACAAACACAAAGAATATGCACGTATTAGCGCGCACATGCACATACACACACATTACTCAGTGGCGTTGGAAGGTATTTTACTCATACATAATTTTAGTGTAGTACGGTCAGCCACCTGAAGTACAATTTACTCGTGGAGTAAGGGTGGCTCCTCTGAGTATTTTCGAAATTTAGAGCCCAACACATTGCTTTTTATCGATTCAGCTGCTGAACAACACCACCGTGCCCAGGTGCTCAGATGTCACTAGTGTGTCACTAGTTTCCCCGGAATGTCCAGTGCATTGTTTTAATATATAATCATGTGGAAGCACTTCAAGTGCCATATCGTCGATAAGACGTCTTTGCAAGAGTCTCTCCCTCACAAACTGTTCTTCTTGCTCAGCCGGTGAGGACTACTGTGTTAGCTGTGCAGGGGAGTAGCAGCTGGTCCGACTTTGGCCAGACCACCGTTTTCGCCCGCCCACGAAAAAAGTGCCCATAATGCAGGATTTTGCATCCCAATTTCAAAAAATTCCCGGGAATGTGCAGGAGAAACATACAGATATGACGCAGTATACAGTTACATGTAGAGATGCATCCTCCCATGGCACTGAGATTTCGGCCATGGGGAGATGCTCGGCCCTGTGGCCGCCCTGGCAGGACCGGCGGAAGCAATTATTGTTGATTGGTACTCCGCCATACTATAGTCTCTCACACTTTGCATAATGGTATGGCGAGTACACATGACCTGCCCGGCATTAAACATGCATGAGCAGGGGCGGATCCGAGGATGGGTTTCAGGGGTTCCGCGGAACCCCCTAAATTTCCTAAATGCACTGCTGGCAACCCTACAGTAAGATCGGGCGCCGAAGAACACCTCGCCGAAGAACACCCAGGCTGGAAAACCGGCAAATTTTAAGAACAGTCCAGGCTAGAATTATCAGATTTAAGAACACTTTTAAAATTTTCATACATGTACTTACACGAAGTTGCGAATTTACACGTAGATCTACATTGTACATGTATGGGAGGTGAGTACATGTCATGTACACGTGTAAACAGTAACTGCTACATGTACAGTCATTCCCATTTACGACACCCACTAGTTTAGAAGTACTACATAATACACTACATGTACATGTACATGTACATGTACATGACAAACGTCATGACGTCACTCGACTCGCCGCGCGCGTGTGAATAAGAACGGTCTGGCTAGAATCAAAAATTTAAGAACTTTCCTAGGCTGCGCCCGATCTTACTGTATGCGTGTTCATGTACATGTATCAGCAATTCAGTTTTGACTATCCGGGCTGGAACCCCGTGCAGAGATCGCTGGATCCGCCGCTGATGGGTTGATGTCCAAAGAGTTGGTCCGGCCATGGCCTCAGACCGACCGGACCAGTTCCGTCACCCCTGCCTGGCGGGTCAGCGACCCGGTTGGAGGGTACTTGGACCCGTTTGGAAAAAGAACACCGGGTCACCTGTGACCCGGTTAACGGTTGGGAATACAACATACATCGGGGAGCCCTAAAATATTGACAACTCCCTGATAATAGGCTGATACCGGACGCCGGTTGGTTTAAAATCCTAGAGCAGACACTGGTGTGACACTTCGTGGAGTACGTACAAATAAAATTTAAATAAAATAGCGGCTAGTGTCGTAGTGAAGCGAGGAAAGTGTTGCTGCTGCAATTGTCTTTTGTTGACTTTAGTCGGAGAGGGAGAACGTTGCAACCACGACTGTAGTCATTACAGCAGTAAAGGAGTAAGGGTGTGATGCTGGTAATGAAGTAGAGAATGGTAAAATAGGATTATGCAAGTGTCATCAGAGGTGTTTGGAGATCAAGCTAGTACCACGCCATATGGCCACGTTTTCGTCCCCTGCCCGACAAATTACTGGAGCTTACCTGCGACAGTGTGTTGCGAGTCGAGCGCAAGAAAGCCATTCCACGTCTTCCTCAATTCTCCTGCTCGTGATACAGTCACAGTCAGTGTTTCCCTGTACATGTACCTACTCGCCAGACTTCTTTTCTCTTCTTTTTTTTACTGTAGTGAGTCTGTTGTCTTGTACTTGTACTTGTAGTTGTAGTTGTACTCTTGAAGGACAGTGCTGGTAACTAAAATCCGACCCCCTTGGCCGCGCTCCGCGCCGCCAAAGGGGTCGGATTTCACTGTAGTTGAAATACTTGAACATGATGAAGTAGGCTCAGCAGCTCAGCAGACTTCTTTTTGTAGATCTGCAGATCTGCACCACCACCACTGCTGCATGCTGAGTCCTGACGTAATCGTTGACTGCAGTCAACTTCGCTAATAACGACTGCGGATATAACGACAATTCGAGAATAACGACAGAATTTCCATGCCCAGAGCAAAGTCCGATCCGACTGTAATACACAATAGAGACTTCGGGTATAACGACATTTCGCGAATAAGGACACCTTTTTGATGCCCCGCCGAGTGTCGTTATAAGCGAAGTGTCGTTATAGTTGACTGTACACCAGGGCCTCGTAAAATACATTTTTACGACTCCCTGCTGTACACCGCGTACCGCGACACGTGAACAACAGGCGTGACGTCACTGACATGAAAGAACGACACGTACACGTGGGTCTATGTATAATCAAAAAATCAATGAGCGAAAATAATAATTATTAATTTTCTGCCTGTTTGATTTTCTCACACAATCATCTTTTCTTGCTTATCTGTAGAAAGTTCTGCTTTTGTTTCGTCCTGCCTTGGCCTTGGACTTTGGTTGCGAAGCGTGTTATTCCACCGCCTCAGTATTAGAGTCTCTATCTCAAGTCATACTCACTGTTCAGCTAAGCCATGCCAGGAGAAAATTCGCCGACGAAAATTCACAAGAAGAAGAAAAAGAAGGAGAAACGAGCTCTCACTGAGGACAATGTTGTGGAGCCCATTGAGTTTACCCAGACGCAAGCGAAGCAGCCTGCTGAGCCCAAGTATGAGGTAAATGAAGAGTTTTCGCTGGTGGCGGGTAAAGAAGTTCTGGAGAAGGAAGGAGCCGATGACGATCGTGAGATTTGGATGATCCAAGTACCTCAGAATTTCGACATGCGCCAGTTGAAC